GGCTTATCTTACAACAGCGACTTACAAACACTTACCAAAGACACTATAGTTTTCTTTTTAATTTGTGCATTGGATTTTGTTTTTCACCCTACACCGGTAACGGTACGGGTCTAACTTACTTACTTACACTAACTAACTAATGACGTTTTTCTCGCATAGGGGTCTCGTGGAGCAAAATTGCTACGCCTCCTAGATGGTTCATCGCAGGATTCTAATTTTTTTTCTTTTGTACTATGACCCTTATCTAAATTTGTTGGTGGGACTTTTTTCCTGAATTGAAAATTACTAACTCGGATTTCGGGATTTTGATTTAAAACGGGTATAGAAAATGAACGAAAATGAATTCAGAAAATCGTCGGACAACTTTTAAATATGGGTTTAGCGTCGATTTGGCTCTGATCAATTTTGTATTATTCTCATTTTACCCCTTAATTTTTTTTCTTGTTTCATTCATTCTAGATTCAACTCTTATACTTACGCATAGGCTCAACTAAATAAATTAATTATTTGTGATAAAAAATGTATACAAGATGTAGGATAAAAATTTAAAAGAGAGTGGTTTTCCAGTTTTTAGAGAACTGATACATTTTATAGCTGAAAAGAGAACAGATAACATTGTTTGGAAAACGGTTTTTGAATGTTTTTGACAAAATTTAAAATAAAGCATGTAGTATAAACCACGATAACTAGAGAGGAGTTAGACCCAGACCTACATTACTTAATGGATAATATGACTGTAAAACATATTCGCGATGAATTTCATGATCATTCAACAAAGCATAAGTATAAATATACAGTCAGCACGGTCAGTTCTACAATTTATTCACACTCTAGAGTTATGCCGGGACGCGATTAGAAAGTAGTCGATAGATATACAAATAATAATATGTGAAACGAATTTATCACAAGTCATTCAGTATCAAAGAACAAGTCCCAGCTGGTATAAAATTATCTTATTGGTGTTCGTCATACAAAAGATATCCTGAGTGCGATTTTCAAGTACAAGCAATCATTAGTAGTTCGCAACATATAGCTGCTAGCACATCAAGCATTCGCAATCAGGATAATCGTTTACCATCGACATGCGCGCCATCATCTGTTCGTAAGATTGTTCAACGAGCGGTATCAGTTAAATAAACTTAATCTCAAATTCGTTTAGCTATACAAAATGAACAACTTCAGCAAGTATCTCCTGCTGAAATATCTAGTTCATTAAACTATTATCGTTCGTTGACTTGTCTATCTATTTATTCTGTCGATGATCTTCGTTTATGGTGTCATCAACAATTAACACCCGATTCAGCTTCATCTCATGATATTTTCGTACCGAGAGTCCCCATTGATTCTTGTGATCAAGCATTTATTTTCTTTACCAATTAGTTACTGTTTGTAGTTTGTCAACGTTATTACAGGTAGATGCAACGTTTAAGGTGAACTGGAATGAACTACCATTATTAGTCTCTGGTAATAGTGATTCCAATCGTCATTTCCGTCCTTATGGTGTTGCTCTGGCCTCAACTGATGTAACAGCTGATTCGTATGTGCATGTGTTTCAACTTGCAAAACTTCAGATTCACACATAACACGTTTGATTAAAGAAAAGTATGCTCTGTAGATCAATCAGTCCTTTGTCTTGTTTAAATTACACAGTCTTGAAACATATGCATCTTATAGAATGTCTACCGTACAAACTAGTATATAAAAATATTGTTTGTATCGAATGTTAAGTAGTTGTTATTAGAATGAAATAATATGTAAGCTATTTTTTCTTGCAAAGAAAACTTTTACGTCTTTTATTGTTATGCCTTTTGTCCCGTGCAGAAAAGACTTAGCAACCGTTTAGCCATAATTCATCTGTTTAAAAAGTAGGTCTGGCAACTTTAGATACAACTGATATAATAAAAAAGAGCACAAATAATACAAAAAATGAGTACCGACAATTAATTTCAACCTTTGGTGATACAGATAGATCCTTTCTTAGCGTTTCCTTGATAACATGTTAAGCCATGACAACATGGTGGACGATGATGGCCACATGTCCATATAGCCGGTGTACATTGTAGTTGTTGTGGTAGTAGTTGCTGTTGTTGATAATTTCCACCTTGATTAAAAGGAAAAAATCGCGGTTTTTGCACAATATCTTCTATTTCATCGTCATCGAATGTAGAACGAAGTCTAGCTAGTGATGAACGAGGATATGAATTGGTCAATTCCAATAGAGAAATTACTACAAATACGACAAAGGCCAATATGAATGAATAACGCATTCCAATGACAAATAATTGTACGTAGACAACAGGAGAAATGAATTTTTACACTGAAAATAATGAACGATATGTTAAATAGAACCAGTCTTGGTCAATACGATATTTTGCAGAAACAATTCATCATTTTTCAAAATATTTTTTATTTAAATTGGACCAAGTTTACAATATTTAAAATCAGTATTTCATACTCTTTTTAAGTCTGTATTTCACAACTTTCGTCTATGTTTTTGGGTTAACCCACACCGACCAAAATAAGAGAATAAGTTTTTGGCTGCGCTAAATTATAGGCTTTTAATGCCAATTATTTCATTTTTTTATCTGTATCATGAGACATTGAACGATAAATAGCTTTCATGTCTCTGAAGAAATGGCATTAAAAGCCTATAATTTAGCGCAGCCAAAAACTTATTCTCTTATTTTGGTCAGTGTGAGTTAACCCAAAAGCATAGACGAAAGTTGTGAAATACAGACATAAAAAGAGTATGAAATACTGATTTTAAATATTGTAAACTTGGTCCAATTTAAATAAAAAATATTTTGAAAAATGATGAATTATTTTTCCAAAATATTGTAATACATATATGTATATATGTCCGACTCATGCTACCCATCTTGTATTATGTATGTTCTACTTACTATTCTAATTCATCTTATTTTACGACCCTTTGTTCTGTATGATGATTATTTGTCTTAATTCTAGTAATTGACGGAGAAATCATTCATCTCTTTTGTTTTGCGTTTTACTGGTATAGAAAGAACGAAGATTTCTTTACAAAACTTGGCAGCAATTCTTACAAAAATTATTTATATGATCAGTCGATAGGCCTAGGATACTCTCATGATTCCATGCAATAGGACTACTTTTAAAACTATAGGGAAAATAAAATACCAGCGAAACTGAGGCAGAAATAATTCATGTTAGAATAAGGCGAAATAAATTGATCCATCTGGAAGTAAGATGACATAAGTCGGTGACGAAACTGTCGGGTTCAGCCGTCTTAACTTTGAGACTGATTAATTCAGCCATTTTCCAACCTACTTTTATCATCTTATTTTCAAATGGATTCTATTTCTAGAGTGTGATACTTGATTATAACAAAGAACAATAAATGATACCATACTGTTAGATTCATTTTTTACCTCCGAGATATGTAATTGATTTTGATGAATTCAAAATACTAGTCGAAGTATATGTATGATAACGGGAAAAGTGTAGAATCTTTTTCGCCTCTGAAGCTGAGTTATGATTTATTTGTAAGTATGATGAGATGTATTACCTGGATTTCTGTTTTGTGTCTACTCCCACGCATACACAATTTAATATTCGTACAAATATTTATTTTGACTTACAATATCAATAAACTAAAGGTATAATAAACGTGAAACTTATAATTATTGCAATATGAACAGTTCCTTCTTTAATGACGGGATAATTATTTTGAGTCGCTGTACGTCATTGTGCGTCATTATACAGGATAATAATCCTGCAGAATTCTACTGACCATAAAATAGTATTTTTATACACCAAACTCAGTTGTATTAATAATGATGACACTTCAGTTTGCCTGGATTCTAAATAAATGTATTAAGAGTAGAAAAAAAAAAGTTTAATAGATTTTATTATTTGAATAAAGGCGTTTTGATTCAATAAAAACTATGTTTATCTGGCTGATACAGTGTTGAGAGACATAATTGATATTTGCAGAGCATACATTAAATTTTTACTACGTTATCCTGATATCTCGTGTGTAGATTTAGCATAAATATAACCTTGACTAAAACATTTTATTTTACATTGTGTATTTATTGTAGTTTATTATTATTTGCAGTAAAGCTGAAGAAAAAAGTCTTTAGATTATCGAAAAATCTATGTATGATTAGAATTTGCCTAAATTTTTAATATTTTTTCATTAAGAGATTTACAATGAAATTTTTATGTATAACGAAACTTTTACCATTGGTAATTAATCTGACAATGATAAATAAATGGGCACAAATAAAATTATGTTCTCTATTCTTAATTATAGTGGACTAATAAGATCGAGGATGTGAAATATTTTGACAGAAAATGTTGATGCTCTAACATTGGAAAATATCATCAATAACAAATTCATTTGTATGAAATCATTCATAATATACACATCCTGAACTTTCAATTTTGACTATATTTGAATAAATAAAGAATATTGTAAAATCGATATATGGTCATTTTAATAATGTTAAAGCTAATGTTTGATGCACAAATTCATCGAAAAGCTTCTATGAACTATATTTGCTTTTGGAAGAACAAAATATGTTCACTTTTTTAAACGAATTGTATAGAACTAATTGTTGTACATAGTTGAAAATTCTAATTGATAAATGACCGTTTGTTTATTGATTACTCAATGTACAAGTCGAGTGCGGGAACTTCGAAATATTTGAGAACGCCTATTTGTTGAATACTTGAAATGAATATTGATTTTACCAGTTTGTGAATATATGTTCGTTTTTTCATAGGGTATGAAAAATATAATTGTTTCTTTGTGTGTGTAATTTATACCTACCAAATGACGATAACAACATGATAATAGAAATTAAATTCCTTTACTTGTTACAAATATGCTGTTAAAATGGGCTCACAACATGATATATTAACCGTTTGAAGGAAATATGTAGTGTATGAATAACGAAAATGTTCAACTTGCAGTAAAAGTTTAATACCTTGAAACAAAAGTTCTAATCAGATTATTTTGGCAACTAGGGCCCTGCATGAATTCGGTGGCTCGACCAACTTGAGCCCGAGAAAAATTTGGGACGGATCGAGTGTGTCGTTTCAACTGTACCGGCTTGGCACTCTTTGCTCATGCAGTACAAAAAATTCTTGAATTTCAACCCGATTTTTTACCATATTTTTGTTTATAATCTGTATAATAATCTGTATAATAATAATTAATATTATCCATTAAAAAATATAATGCAGAAAACTCTTTTCAGAATAACGTTTGATATACAAACGATAAAGAAAAGCGGTTTCGCCAGTTTCTAGAAGACACTGGGAGAAATCTATTGGTGAAATAACAGGTCCAAAATCCTGTCTGCAGGTGGTGTAACTGATGGATCTTCTGCAGACAACGCTGTCGTTTCCTGGATTTCGATAGCAATCTATAGTTTCAAAATATGTAGAACATACACTGACACTTACGCTCCAGATCCATGCAGGTCCAAGACCTCCATCTACCCTCGTTCGGGCGTGGCATAATTTCTCCAAAGACACTTATTCTCGGAAGTAAATTGAGCATAGGTTTTACACTTTTTAGAAAAACCTTCAAAAACCTACTGGAAACCTATACTATGTTAAATAATGCATTATTCACTATTTTCACCGTAAATTAAAAAATTTATTATTCACTCGAAATCGGTCCAGACTACTTCAAAATATCAATATATACTCTATTTTATCTTCTCAACCTGGTCTGTAGTTAAGACAGATAAAAAAGCATTCCCTTACTTGAAAACATTTCTAGAAAACATTTCAAATACCAAAGTATTTTCTATTGATTTTTAAAACTTTTAGTAAGTACCAAGATGTCGTGCAGATAAAATAGAGTATATCTTGATATTTTGAAGTAGTTCGACTGAAGGCTAGAGACTTGCGGTTTTCACCATTCGGTTCAACTTGCTGAGCTCTATAATATGAGGGAGGTGTCGTCACTGACGTCAGAGGCCGATGTGAATGGTGGTCAACAAACCATCACCCTCCACTAGTAATATCCGAAAAAGTAATTGTTCGCACTTTCAAGTAGAAATGAATTACCAACCACTTTTTTTAGAGTTTTGAAACAGCTTTTTTCTGACACATATTGTAGACCGCAACCTATGCTGAAAAGTCATGTTTTAACAGGAATATTCAAAAAAGGCGGTGTTCACAGTGTACATGACAATTGAGCAAAAGACAGTTTTGTTCGTCGCGTAAAGCTGCATCGAATGGTAGATAAAACTTTCCTTCAAGCTTATTTTATTCTAGGAAAAGTACCAAAAACACACAGCATGGGTTTGTGGAGATATTGTTCAAAGTTAATCGATTTTCTTACAGATATCAACTTCGAAGAGAAACCATGCATCTAGAACATCATAAAATCACATGGTGTTCTTCCATTCTGGACACCTTTCGAGAAAAATTGAAATGGGGCCGATTCTTGTTCTTATTGCAGCTCGTCCTTTCTCGAATATGTGGAAAAAAATTTGACAAGTCCAATCGGGTCGGTCGGACGTTTGGGTGAAGGCTCAGCGGTGGCGAGCCGGATTGAAGCGTGATTGAAGCGCCGGACTGATCCGTGCAGAGCCCTGGTAGAGATTCATCAGGTTATAGTTGTATAGTTAGATATATAGTTAAATTTTCAAAAACAAATACGCTTTCATTTCACAAAGATAAACGCGTTCAATCAAATGGTATTTTAAGTAATTACGCAACATGTTTCATATAAAAATATAAGAAAAAACGGGTTTAATTATGTAACATCTAACAGAATTATAGGAAACGCGTTTGAACACGTTCTCAACAATCCGTTAAAAGAGGGTCGGCACCAGAGCTCCTGCCGATCCACCCGACTCGATGACCCGGCCCGCCTCGGACCAGGCCGGGCCGAGCCATTCGCTTTTTTTTCTCGGGCCGGGCGGGCCGTCCGAGAAAAGGTTTTAGCTCGGTCGGGTCAGCGTTTTTTACGGTCCGGCCCGGCCCGAGAAATTTTAAAAGTTTTCTTCATATTTTCAGTTAAATTTGGCTATTTCCTAGTAACAGTATGTTACTATTATCTAGTGAATTCTGTTGGGAAAAAGAGTTTGATCACTGGTCAGTTCGGATGACTGATACTAGGAGAAGAAACAAATACACCATGTAAAGGAATTCTATCCATTACTGAGTTTATTGTACAATAGACTCTCGGATATATTTGGCAAAGCTTGCTCGACATTTATATTCAATTCCAGCAGCGTCTGCTGGAGTCGAGAGGCAGTTTAGTGCCGCGGGTCTTGTAATTAATGAACGATGATCATCATTAAATCCTGATACTGCAGAAGATATATTATTTGAACGAACAGTTCAAAAATCACTTGAAAAAGATCCACATCTGTTTTCCTAACCTTGTTTTGTGTTTCCTTCACTTCTTTCTCTCGCTACTGTTCATATGTTTTGGAAATTACCTAGCCAAAAAGTTATTTGTGTTTTCTTAATTAACTCATACTGCTGCTGAACTAATCTTTAGCAAAGCTTTTACTGTGTTTTTGCCATAACAAAATTGAATTGAGTCTAAAAAGAATTTAGAGTCGGGCTCGAGCCGGGCGGTCCAGGAAAGACTACCACCCGGGCCGGGTCTGGTCAACCGATTCGCATGATGGGTCGAGCAGGCCTCGACTTTTCTTGGCCCGGCTTGTTCCGGGCGGGCCATCAAAAATTCACCCGATTAGGAGCCCTGGTCGGCACGTTCTTTCCAGTAATTATGAAAATCATCCAGTCCAGACGCGTATGAAATGAAACAAAACGGAGATGTTTATTGTTTGGGAGACTCTCCCGCAAAGACAGCAACGAGAAAATAGATGAAGAGACGCGGAACGCAGCATACAAAAATAAAACGCATCTACACGCAATTTTTTAAGTAAAGTCATGAAAACTCTGTTCATAGTTTTCTCAAACATACACGTTGAGAAATTATTGTAATACAATTCAAATATAAGCATTTAGTAATTTCATAAAATTTTAAAAGGTAGAAATTAAATTCACGAAAAACCTTCAAGAAGTTTTTGTCGGCTAGCCATAAACCATCATATACATCAAGCCCCTGTGGCGAAGTGGACTATCGCGTCTGGCTTCTAACCAGAAGTTCGTGGGTTCGATCCCCACCAGGGGTGAATTATTTTTATTTGAATAATATTTTTTTAAGTTTGTTATTTCGACTTGCTGAATTGACGAGATATCTGAAAAGATGCTTATATCCCAGAAAAATATATATATGGAGGAATTGAAGTATCTCCTTTCGCACATGTACATCATATATATATAACTGATCGCTGCTCTGTCTTTTGCTTCTCTTTTTCTTTCTCGTCCCTTTACGTCCTATACGTAGCAATGCTTTGCACATGCATATCTTGTGCAAGAAGTGCACTGGTATATGAATGTTTTTTTTTTGAATTTCGTTTAACACAACTCGTCCCGAACCTTTTTAAGAGATTGTGTTCTCCAGGGGGAAGGGTGTGCGTGCGTGCGTACGTTTTGATATTAACTAAACATAAAAGAAGCTGCTCAGACCATTGTAAAGAATACTTATATTGTCATAAAATCAAATCATTGAGACACATGGCTTATAGTACATCATCAAGTATATAAATATTAAATATTTTAGTGTATCCCAAAATTTCGTAAACATTTTTTTCTATATCAACAACAAACATAAAACGTCAAGAGACCGATTGGAATTATAGATGAACGTTAGCTGGTCTACAGCAGTCTTTTGAAAAAGTTAACCAATAAATATATCTCTTACCTTTTGTTCCTTTTATAAACTTAACTCTTCACTATATATCTGTTCCACAGAAGTTTTTATTTTTATTGTTTAATTTAATATTATTTTTCTAAGATGTTCGTCTCAAAGTTGAAAAATGGCCAGACGGTTCTTCTGGCGACCTATTCCAGCTTCGGTTCGTTTAGGAAACAATGTTAAGCTATGCTCGACTACAAAGTTCAAGATTCTTCAAGACAGATGATGATGTTTTCATCAATTCGCTTTACTATTCAAGTTTCTTTCTCAGCTGTTGATTAATGAGACCAAACGAAGAGAAAAGTTTGAATATTCGTCCGAACTTTTTCATAAAGGACCACTAGTGACAACCTATTCTCTGTGCTGTCTTTGTCTAATTTTGAATATGTTGTTTAAATGCAAATCTAGACTACCTAGTTTTGAAAGGGATAACTAAAAACCATGTTCTTGTCTGCCGTCGCACTCTACGTTATGTCCGTCGCTTTTCAACAGAACATATGTACCATTTCGGAGCAAGCATAATTCCAATGAACATTAATTAACTATTGCTTACACCTTTTTTATTGAAGATAAGTGTTCGTTATACGGTGACTTTTCTCATCTCCTAGAATTTATTTGATGTATCAGTCTTTGTGGCTATAATCGCTCGTAAATTAGACTTTAACTTCTATGGTGGTTCTAAAATCAAGTTTAGCATCACCACCACAATTTTTGGTAAATTTGAATATTATGACTAAAAAATGAGTGTTTCAAGTTTCAGAGACACATGGAAGACGGGAAGATATAACTACTAAGCATCTTTGTCAAACAATGAAGGCAAATAAAGATTAAAGCTGTGATGGAAAGAACCGACTTTAATTTTTCTTATGTATGACCTTTCTCATCACTTAAGAACATTCCAGTTTGCTCCTTATTAGAGCTGTATATTGTAACAATTTTGTCGTTATCATTCATCCTCACTGGAAAAGCGGTAGTGTTCCTATCGTTTTTTGCTAATGATCGACATCGCAAAAATGATCATATCGTATTAGTTACTGTAAATACTAAAGTCCCAAGGATTAGTTAGTTATTAGTGCAACCTGTGATATCATTGTTTATATTACATCATGCTTTTCTGTTACGTTATCTTTTCTTACATATCTTTCTCGACACAGGCTTGTATCTGTACTGGTTCTTTTCTGGATATGCTTTTGTTTTCTCAATAAAATATTTGTACATTCAAGTGAAGATTCGAACAAGTTAGGTGGAGCCTAACATTGACGAAGTTGTAGACCAACATACACATCTTTTGCGAGCAATTTTCATCACAATGATAGTCCAGAAACCGCGAACATTTTCATCCATATCCTATTCACTTGGCTTTTCGTTTTCGCGTTACAAAGCGCTTAAATATCGTCAAACAAGATGTCTTTCTAACAGCATCGCAGTTTTCATTTTTACTTGCCTTCATTGTTTGTTATTTTATAGATAACGAAATCCTATGTAAATACCACAGTTATTGTATGTTGTACAGCAGAAAATTCTCTATCTTTTGAGCCTAGAATGGACTTTGGCACTTGTGCTTAAGTGTCCAAACAACTAAACAAATGGTCCTGGTAAACGAGCGTCACCCAGCCTTTTTTCTGAATAAAAAAGTACTAGTTTGCCATGAAACCTTTTTTTCAGCAGAAGCTTTAAAGGTTTCGAATTCCTTTCAAAAGTATAGATCTTCGAAGGTTCGATAGAGAACTATTTCTTTTACAGAGTACATAAATGATAGTGGAAGGCCTATTATTTGAGCATTATATATTAAATGAAGTTGTACACGACGTGAACACTGACACAGACCTTTATTAGTATTTTTATTTCTGTCGAAAGTTTTAGCACTTTATACGAGATTCTATTTTTACTTCTCAGCACTCATCGCACGAATATATATATAGTACATACATGACTGAAAAAATAGAAACTAATAATTTACACACACGCAAAACAACAATAGAAAGGTAGCATCAGCGGTTAGTAGCTTATGACAGAAAAGGTCAATTTAGTTCCATTATTCAGCGTAAAAGACGATGTGAATGCAAGAAGAAAACCTTTTTTTGAATGTAGTGAAATGGAACAGGTGTAACACATAAGTTGTAGCAAAATATTATAGCAATCGTTTAACTGTCTCTCCAAACTTCAATAGTTGGATCTATTGGAAAGTGATGTATACCATAAAGTGTTTTGATAATCGATAGTTCACCTATTTTTGCTTATTGGTTATATTTTTGCGCTTACTTAAGCATAGTATGAAGATAAGTGAGTTGCGTTAAATATTGTTACAAAATATTTCGATGTCTTAGAGCACTATTCTCAGAGGAAACGTGATTTTCCGATAATTCTGATTTTATAGTTGACTGAAGTTGTATTACAGGTATATTTAATCGATGCCAATGCCAATAGATTAGGTTCTTAAACCAAAACTGATAAATGGTCCATAGTAAAACTACGATAGTGATTGATAGCCAGAGGATGCTGATATGAAATGGTAATGGTTTGCTAACAATGTGCCAACCAAATTTAAAAATAATTAGAATTTCAGTAATAAGCATAGCACTCATCACCCACAATTGGCGACCAACCGTTTTGCATTCACTAGAAACACAAGCAACCCAGTTAAAAGTGTTGTTTTACGCGATAATTAATCAATCTGAACATTATTTTTCACTCTTTCCTCGATGATCATGGTAAAAGATTAAGATGATGGAAAATGTGTTTTGAAAAATAAGCTTACGGGTTATCCATATATTCAAATAATTCTCTCATAGCCACACTGCCCGCTAATAAAAAGAATAATAATCTTCCCACACACAGAAGATGAGGCGGTGGTATCCAAAGAATAAATTTCAAGTAAAATGTGCCCAGTTCAGCTAGAAATAGCATTATTATTATGCATAACATGCCACCCCAACGTTTTAATGATGATTGTGGACGCCATGAAAATTCTAGCCAGTCATGTGGAGTAAATTGTCCTAATACCCGCATTATTTTACCCCTTTAACACAGATAATTAAAATTTACATATTATTTTCACATTTAAAACATGTTTACCTAACAGTTGGTATTTTCCATAGTCCTCTCCAATTGTATGGCTTCATTTTTAAATATTCACATGTTTTCATCCCCAAATATATACCACCACCATTACATATTAACGCATCTAATATCCACTACAAAAGAAAAACAGAATAAATTATAGAACAAATGAGACAGAGAGTTCTCTAGATACAGACGTGATCCCACCAACATTCGCTAAAATTTGGTAATTGATGTTCTAATGAATATTCTAATACTTCAAAACCAACTGATGTTACCCAACATAACCAAAAATCACGTAATATCAACGTTTTTAACCACCAACCAATAAAATGAGATAATACAAAACCATCCATTTTATCCTAGAATATTCAAAGAGCAACAACAGATAACTTCTTTTCTTCTTTCAAGATAGATCAATTTATTCGTCTTATTCCCATTAGAAGTTTATTTTTAAGGATAATTGTGTTGTACAGATGCAGGGAGTGCTCCAAGTGATAATCATATCAATGATTTTAGTAAAAAATCAAAATAAATTAACATGTTCTTTCGAAGAAACCATTGTTCTTTATATACGAGTGACGAATGCAAAACAAAAGAGATGGAATGACTTCCTCGTCAATTATAGAAGTAAGACGACAGCAGGATCTGCAGAATCAAACGCTTTAAAATAAAATGAATTCAATAGAAAGACAAATAGTATAAGTCGGATCTTTTTTAGAGTGCAAATACTGAGTATACGTACTCTGAATGAATAAAACGGATCGGTTGAATTTTCCCAATCATAAATTCGACAACTTCCACCATAATCTTTATCTGGCAATGGTTTACCCAATTCAGGATCGATATGAGCTAATAAACGTCTCGCATCGTCAACATTCTAACAACAAATATAGACTATAGTAACCACTCGACTTCATATCTCTTGTTTTATATCTATACTTGAAACAAAATATAAATTAATAAAAGTTCGTACAAAACACTGGAACACAGTACTAAGCGCCACAGTGCTAAAAATAGATAAATATTATTAATACATTATGTTTGCTAAGAAAAGTGATAGTGTGCCAAATAAAATTTTACGTATACGATTTTCTATATTCATTTTTATAAAAAAATCTCTTATCTTTACCTGGATGCGGTCGAATAAACGGACCATCTGGAGTGATAACAACTCCGAATAACAGGAAAAACATAGAACAAGCTAATAAACCCCTAAAAAAAGCAAACAAAACAACTTTTCTATTACATGAGTGATTAAAAATGGATGCAAGATATACCGTTTTGCATTATAACTGGAGTCAAGAGTTTCTTTTTCAAATACAGCTACATAGAATAAAATAGCCATTGATATTGTTAAAACAGTCAATGTATGAGCACGCCTAGAACATAATACAGATAATAGAGCCACAGCGAAAACAACTTTATTATGAATGTTTAACAAAATTTATTTCATTTATCACATGAAGTAAAACACTGAGCATTCTGTAACTATTTTGCTTACCAAAAAAATGACATTGTTCCATCATCAAATAATTCTGATTTTCTTTTATCGTTTTCCCAATCGTAGGTTGGCGGCGGTGTTATTAACTCATTATTATCTTCTTCTGAACCTGTTGACTCGGCGGATACTGTACGTTTTTCATTGAAATCAAGAGGGTCATCTCCCGCTGTTGTAGACGTCATTGTAATCTAAAACAATGGGATCGACACATTTATCTACTGTTGTCTATATAAAAAAAATATGCAGACATCAAAATAACATGGAAAACCAAACATCTTCATTTTTATCAAAGAGTCCAAATAAAAACGAATTAGGAGCTTATCTGGTGCAAGAAAAAGAAATCATTAAACATTGCAAAAGTAAAACGAAGCGCTTTTTCGAAATTGATAAATTGTAGACTACAACCGCGTATCATGAAAATACGACTATAGTCACCCCTAAATGATATTGAAAATAAAGACTAAAATCGCTTACAAAGTAAACGATGCTAATAAAAGAACCTGAATAAAACAGACTAAAAATAGATTTTACTTGAAAAAACGATAAGTTTCTTTTCGTCAATTATTGATAATAAAAACATAGTATAAAGTCATGAAGTAGATAAAAAAAGTCAGAATATGCTAATTTCTAACGATAGAATAGTAGTACTCACTACTGTCTGCTATATGGTACATTTTGTTCTTTGAAATAGTAATTGAACAGTTGGTTAATGCAAATATTTTTTGAAGTACGATCTCGAATTAAATTTAAAAACATAGTCCAGAGGATGTCGAGCATTTTGACAACAATACTTTTTGAATAACAAATATTATACCATCATGAAAAAATAATTGATATAGTGAATGTTGATGAATCGTGTTCAAATAGACTAAAGTCAAGCACAATACTGAGATTAATTCTATGTTTCATTTAATAAAAATTATTCATGACATTTAGGGTAACAAGCTCTTTTCGAACTATAATCTATCAACTTACGCGCACGAAAAACAAATAAATAGGTAATCTGAATGACGTTTCCCAGTTTAAACTACGTAAAATAAACGAAAAAAATTTTCTCCAGTCAGACTTTGTGATGATAGTAAGAAAGTTTATATCTCGTTCACACAATGCAAATAGAAAGACAGACAATCATCAAAAGATAAAACATCTATTTTGTATTGTTGTGTGGTGTTTTAAATATACTTTTATAGATTGTTTTCATTCGTAATGTTAACCATTTTCGTCAAATCAAAATTGTACATAAACTGTTGGTTGAAGTTCATCAATATTAGTGATTACTAGATGCTAATAGAAAGTTAATTTGATTCCCAGAACCTAACTGGATTCAATGTATAAATAAAACTGATTTATGTTCAACTTCAGCTGGTATCCTCGCCCTCACTCACGATACCCTCTGAATGCGTTTTTCTATATCTTGAGCCAAATTTTTTGCGACCAAACATCATTCCGTGAATAGCCTATGATGGTAATACCAACTCGAAATGTAGGAAGCGTTTACAAGTTAAAGATAGTGCAAGGTGTAAGAAGTCGTGAAGTAGTATGAACCTCCGATAACTCGACAGATGTCTCAGTTAAATAGATAATGTAAGATCGCGTTGGAATTAACACAGACCTAAGTGAAAAGAAAGACTAAAATCGACTTTTAGGAATTTGCATGAAATCCAAGAATTAAGTCAACCTTTAACTAGTGCCACGGGGCGGAAAATGAGTAGACGTGACGTAAGTTTTTTGGAAGTATGGTAAGAAATTTTCGGAGAATGTACTTTTTCTTTGCTGCTTGCTTCTACAATCTTCTGAACAGACTTCAAAAAATCGTATCATCCTTCTCTGTTATCTATTCGGTATAACAGTGAAGGCAAAATCAAACTCAACTTAATTACCTTTCGTCACATAGTCTGCCCTTCTCCACTGCACACCTCTGCTCAGAATAGAAAAAACAATCAGTGTCTCGTCAAATGTTGGTAATACAACGTTCGACAGCACTCTCAAATAAATAGAGAAAATAACTAAGTCGAAGCTTGCCAAATAATTGAGAAGATAGTTGGTTGATCCTAAATTGACTAGCAGGACAGCTATATCGGCAGCAACAGCATCAAATCGATCGTTAGTCTACATTCAAAATGGTTTTCTAAGCGAGCCTGATGGATAAAAAAGCGTTACTCAGTAGCAGAAGAACGTGCACTCATGAACATGCTCAACAACCGATTATCCTAATCTTCATTATTATCATTATTTCAATTGTCATCGACAATGTCCATTTTACCTGTGCCGATAGTAAATAGTTTAGATTTTATTCATTTTAAATAGGATAGTACATAGAGACCATAATCAGACGTTTTGTATTCACAATATTAGAAACTGCGTAACAAAAAACATCAAGATGGAAAATGAATAATTAATAGGTATACAACTGGTTCACTGTCTTGTCGATGCTCTTTCCAGATTCTTGCCGATTGTTATTCAGATGAGAACTTTAATATCATTTTCATGAAACAGGCTAGAGATTATTGTTATAATTTCTTATTGATTTTTTATGTCTTTTGTGAAAAACTCTTTTCTGACATGGCAAGATTTGTTGATCATCAATCTGTTTTGTCGACTTTCGTACTATATTATAACGTATATATGAGAAAAACAAAATTGAAAATGAATTATAGATGAATTCTTTATGCATAAGATTCTTGCAAGACGCTTGAAAAAAAAATACATGTAAACAAGATTCTTGTCAGAAATTCAAGACAAGAATCTTGAAAAAAATCGAACAAGAAAGTCGATCAGTGCAGGTGCAATGAAGAAAAAAAACAGTTGTAAATAGGAGACGAAGTATGAATGACAAAGTCAAAAATATAACCATATGCGTCACCTGTAATTAAAACCTGTGAGTATTATCAACAAACTCAATGTTATTGTCGATTTATACCAGTATTGATTATTATTATCAGCTTTAGTTTACAATAAAAACTTTCTTTCTCATTCGTATTTTGCGCTTTTCACAATTCACTCACTTTTCGTTCTATTTTTTTTTTGTTCTTATGAACATATGTTGCACGGAGAGAAACAAAAGAATATCGAAATTTTTTTATTGCAGTGTATACCTCCTCTTACTCATAAAATAGAATAAAATATTATGTGATGACAACAAAAACGGAAAACAAGGTGAGAATGCTTGATAACTGTTCAGCGTTAAGTTTTTTGTTGTCATTTATATAATATTTTATTCTATTTTATGAGTAAGAGGAGGTACACTACAATAAAGAAATTTCAATATTCTTCTGTTTCTCTTCTTGCAACATATGTTCATAAGAACAAAAAAAATAGAACGAAAAGTGAGTGAATTGTGAAAAGCGCAAAATACAGATGAGAAAGAAAGTTTTTATTGCAAACTAAAGCTGCTGATGATCACAGATCGTAAGCGAAAGCTTCGGTTTTTTGACATAAAAAATCAATGTCGGCTGTGTGCATACAGTTGTTATCATTGTCGATTTATATACAGTAATTGAAACTCTCGGAGTAAGAATGGAATAAAAAAATTAGTATATTCACGTTTCTTGTGCTTGGCAACGGTGAAACACGGATACACTAACTATTAAAATATTTTTCATGTGTGATATGTTTCAGCCAAGAAAGGACGAAAAGAATGAAAAAATTCAATAACTTTTGAAAGAAAAATCCTTTTAGGGATTCTGCTAGCTCGCTCGCTATGCTCTATCGATCGACATATAAATTATTGGAACCGGAATTGGCCATCTCCAAAGGTTCCGTCGTAAGTCAATGAGTTACTTGCATTGGTCAGTCAAGTACTTGATAAGGTTGCTTGGAAAAGTCCACAACTGCTGTCTTCATCACTTAATTCAAGTACTTGCGCAAGCACTTAGCTCAAGTACATTCCCTAGGGATTACATCCAAAGAGGTATTTTTAATCTGCAACTAAAACTTTCACTCATTCCCTAGCCAACAATATCATTAATATACAACAAAAATCTGAAAGCAGAGTCTTGAGATACGCTTCCACTGGAAATTTGTCAATAATTTTTGTCCATTCCTTTCGAAATATCCACATGGATGGGGATGCATTTCATCATATATGTTCTAAAAGACGGATATTTATTATCATCAATACCATGCACCTTATAAGTACATGTTCGATTGTTGGTTTATCCACACAGACTGCGTGTGTGTTTCGTGTGATTGTAATATAGAACGTACGTCTGATGTATGCATATACTTTTTTTATAACTTGGTTTCTCCAGTTTGTTTACGTGCTAATGTTCTACGGCATAGAAATCAATTACGTGAGAATTATTGAGTACATATTGATGTTTATAAACCGGATGCTTCCTACGTTCTATCATTTTAACTATGAGAAGCCACAACTACCCGTAGCAGGAAAAAAAATCATGTAACTAGCTATTTGACCCATCCCAGCTAGTTTAAGTTAGATTAACTTATATATAAGTGTTCTAAACACTTCGTCAACATACCAAATATTGCACTCGCTAGATTAAATACTAACTGATATGCTAATATTAGATTTACTTTGGAAATAAAAATAAACGATGATCTATAATGATTTTTGGACATTTTGATTGTTCGAACTACTAATAAATACGAAACTATAATAAATGGAGAATCTGCAAATATCGGTCGACTAAAAAATGTAATGACACCGAATAGATATATGTGACACGTCATACGTCGAGAAGTACACTGTAATCTTGAATTAATTTCCAGTTTATAGAAAATCGATCGAAAAATCGCCAGAGATTTTCTAGTTTATAGAAATTCCTCGACGAATTTCCAGCTTTCTAGAAAAATGCTGATTCTCTACTTTATAGAAAATTGACTTGACTTTCCATAAATTCGATTTTCTATAAAGGTGGAAACTCGCTGAGGATTTTCTACAAATAACTTCCAAGAATCTAGAAATTCGATTTTGATTTTCTATACGCTAGAAAATCGCCGGAGATTTTCTAGAAAGTGAAAATTCACCCAGGTATATTCTAGACCAAATACTTATTCATCTTTTTGTTTTGCAATCAGTGTAGGTATAAGAGCCTCACGTAAAGACACTCATATTACACTTAAATCAGCTTTGACAGTTTCTACTTTAGATCACAAATCTGCCTATGCCGGCAAAAATTTTGATTTACGCAGAGACAGTGGTGACGCAAAGTTTCGGTAG